TCTATGGCAATGAGTGTGCTGATGCTCTTGCAAAAGAAGCTGCTAATTCCCCAGCACCCAATGGCGCGGAAGAGCTCACTCTCATGGCCAGCATTTGAAGAATCCTCCGCATAGAAGCAGCAAATGCATGGAAGACTGAATGGGCTGCTTCCCCCCATGGGAACTCCGTCCGTCGTTTATGGAAAGAACCCTCAAAAGCACCATTGCAGCTATACCAAGGCCTTCAGAGAGCTGCTACATCAGTCCTCATTCAAATGCAAACTGGGAAGATTGCGCTGGCCAGTTACCTTGGTACCTTCAAGGCTGTGGAATCAACTGAATGCTCCTGTGGACGTGGCCTCCAAGACATACGCCATGTTCTCCTCCACTGCACCAACCAGGCAGGACCCCGGATGCGCCATCTTATACAGGGATCAAGACGGGAGCTGGATTACCGGACCTACCTAACACAGCCAGACCTGGTACCAAAAGCAGTGCACTTCATGCTTGAGACAGGCCTCCTAGGCCAGTTTCAAACTCTACCAACCACATACCGAGTCACAACAATAGACTCGGGGAAACCGGCAGCATAACGCAGCCAAGGTTACACGCTTGCAGAAGTAGGGAAGGAAACGAGATAGTATCCAACAAGCCCATGGATCCTCGTGGCCATGGGAACAGCGGCACGAAAACCAGCAGCACGGGATATACAACAGGCGGAATGAGATATCAGGATATGTGTATAAAGGCGACGATGTACATAGCGACTACCATTACGGCGGCTTCCCCGGCTGCCCCGCAGGACCTGCCGCCACTCGGCCTATAGGGCTGACAGATGCGTGTATGAATAATAATAATAATAATAATAATTATGTTTAAATATATATTTCCATCCTGACTGCGTGAATCAACCAACAAACATAAAATTACTCGCAATCACGTCTTACCTACTCTAAGATTCATGCCAAATCTATCATTTTAATAGTATTTAATAATAAATACAAGACCACTTCTTATTATTTCATCCAGTAAGTAGGAGAAAGTGCAGAATAGTATTGTCATAACCAAACATGAAAAATTTCGGTTTTAAAACAGGGGTTTGTCAGCTTCATAACTGTCACCTGGTAGTCTGGAATAGGGTAAATTAGTGAATTTTATGCTAGCGCGGATATATGTTGGATATCCAACATATACCGTTGGACATCCAATGGATATCCGCAGTTGGACTTGGATCTCGTCCCGATATCCAACATCCGCAATTCGCGGACTTGGATGTCGGGACAGCATCCAAGTCGTACGATATGCCGCAGCCTAGTCGTATGTACTTACTTCTTAGTTAAAGAGGTATATCAAGTATTTTTAGGGTAAGTTAGAGGGTGCGACCAGGGGTGAGCCTGACTGAGGGCACTATAGAGAGGGTAAGTAATCACCCAACATTGTGCTGCGCCACCCAATTTCAATCCTTTGAAATCCTAATAATCCACTAGCATGCTACAGCCACTAATTATTGGCTGCCCTCTTCCGACTTCAAACACTGAACTATTTGGTATCTGCACATAGCCACAATCTGATTTTCCTACCTGCAAACAGTGTGCTGAGATTGCAATGGCTGGCAATGACTGGCACCTGCAAACACAGCCAACAGTGGCTATGGACGCCAATGTCTGTAAATGCTGCCTACTGAGCAAACAGGGCTGCAATGCCGTAGGCGACTGTACACTAATATATATTCATTCGTATGTCCTGTCAGATATCCTCTCCTCCACTTCTTCTTCCTCTCCAGATTCGATATTCTCGTCGAGAGGCCTCATCCGCATTTGCGGGGTTATCGCATCCACCAACGCCTCGACATATCTGTGCGGGCTGAGTCCTCTTATATACACAGCACACATCGCTTCTCTTCAAGAACAAAACCAGTTGCCGTAGTTGGCGCCCCTAGCAATGCCTTACAATCCAGGCGTCTCCTTTTTTATACCATTCGACGAACTTGATCCCTCAAATGAAAAGCAATGCATATATTACACCCAGAAGGGTGCAAGATGCCGATGCTCTTGTCAAGAAAGCGACAACAAGCGGGCGGTCGCACTTCAAAAAGAAATCATTTCAATGCCATGTGAGGCTGTCAGTCTCGACCTACTTGAAGACTATATCTTGTGCAATTGCTGCAGATCGGGTCGTGCTCGACATCGAGATCGCATAGAGGATGAGGGACTCTTGAAACCGCTGGCCTTGCGATGGCAAGATGAGATCCGGAGACACACCGCCGATCTAACAAGTCATACAACCTCTGTCCCAGCGCTTAATGAGAGCGTTCTCAGCCAATATGCTTGCACCAACCGAGCCACATCGACTCCCAGCCACACCAGAATATGCTATACCACTACTGCCAGTCCATCTCACTACCAACCTAAGACTGGAATGTCCTTAAATATCAGCGCTGCATTCTCTAAACCTGATGTGAGCTCATCATCCAACCAAGGTAGCTCCCCGAGATCTTCAACCGCTACTGAACTCGCATTTCAACCCTCTGGAAGTCATGAAACACGCTACGATTTCCGCCCTCGCCAAGCGAATGGCCCCACAAATTCCACCTCAACTCAATCCCCATCCATTTCGCAGGCCCCACGATCTGATTTTCGTCCCCACATAGCAGAACCTCTTCCTAGCGATTCCGTCTACAGGAAAATCCTCGACCCCCTTAAGAACCGGGATTTCGAGACCGGCTCGCTCTATATCTTCGATCGAGACTCTTCTCCGGGCCACGTTAAAATTGGCTGGACTGCAAAATCCGTCTCGTGCCGTCTTAAAGATTGGTCGAAGTGTGGATACAAGCCGAATCTACTGTTCAGCATGAACTGCGTTCCGCACGCCCAACGAGTCGAGACCCTCACGCATCATGAGCTGATTAAAGAATGGCGCCGGGAACGGATGTGCAAGGCCCAGTGGTGTCGGAAGAGTCATCAAGAGTGGTTTGAAATTAGTAAAAAGAAAGCAGAGCAAGTTCTGCATAATTGGGCAGATTTTATCAGAAAAGCCGAGCCGTACAATCCGGAGGGATTGTTGAAAAACCAGTGGAAGAAGGTTATAGAGAAGATAGAATGCAATGGGGAAGTTGTCACTGCTAAAAAGTTGCTGAGCCACTATGAGGCGTCTTTGGCTGGAGAGACCACGGTCGTTGTGGGGCATGTAGACTTGGGATATGCGCCCAGGGTTTTGGAGGTGAACACGAGACGTGGACCGGAGGCAAGGCGCTTGAAGCTCTCCAAGGAGGACTTTGTGTGCTTGGATTCACATCGGATCGAACAGCCGACATTGCCTAAAGAAACGGCATTGCTCAAAAATGAGGCATCGCCTAAACAGATCCCGCTAAGGGAAATCCCCCCTCCCAACGCGTTGAAGAGGTCAAAGAGTGATTCAGTGTTCAAGTGGAAGCCATTACCGAAGACTGAGCCGGTATATGAAGGAGTGTTGACCCTGGAGACAACACCAGTCAAGAAGGAGATACTGCCCGAGCGAATACTGCTGCCTCTTTCACCACCCCTTCAGTCCACAATTACCCTCAAAACATGATTTTCTTTTAAGATATGAAACAAAGGCTAGGCGCTGGAGCCGAACAAGCAGATGCAATATATATCGTCACCAATCATATGGACCTTAAACTTGAATACAAACAAACAAACAAACCTCCCCATATCACATGCATAAGGAGTCAGACTTCACAGTTCTGCTTCGATATTCTTGTCGATAGGTCACCTAGTTTAGATAAGAATCCATCATCTTGTTTCATCTATGTCACGGGCTCGGTACCTTAGTCCCCCCTATCACTCATGTTACCGGCTCGGGGGAGCCATCCGTTACTCATGAACTAGAGGAACTTGGGCATTTGTGAACACATCGCTTTTCCTGAACAGTTATTAGTCAACAGCCAAGTCGAATAAGACAGCTAAAATATACATCATTCTGAACAATTCGTTGTCACCAAGAAGTAAGAGGCCAATGCCAAGCTCACGCGAGAGTTTCCACCACCATCCTCCATAGCGTACAATATTGCTAATATTGTCTCGGCGAGACTCAAGGCTCTGCCGGTGACTGAAATAGTTTGGAATTGCTTCAATTATGCAATTCAGAACATAACTTGATTTCCGTTCATTCTTCCCACGAGGCCGTGGTCAAAAATCTGTTGGCCGTTTGCACATGTCTTTATAATTTATGAAGAGCAGCAATTCCGCAGCCTGAACACTGACAGGGTCAGCAATAATGTTGGAATGCAACTCAATAAAATATTCCACTGCGGCTTCGATGCCTCTCTATCTAGTGGGAATGCCAAGTGCATGCAGTTTTCGCGATTCATTTTCCGCCCAATTTTGTAAACCAGACCTAAGAGTTTCACAAGGATCATGGCAGACCAATCATGCTTCTGCTCTGAGCACTTCACGGACATGTTCACCACTCAACTGTACCTCCTCTTCTGTGCATTCATGAACTTCAGGTCTCTTCTATTTATTCCAACCCTTTCTCGTTTTCTTTCCAAAGGCACAGGTCTTCAAAAGCAAATGAACAATCCCCTCTGACCCAGTCGCAGGAGACAATGTTTCTGGCTTCTGGCAATAGCGCTTGCGGACTGCTGTTGTCTCCTCCCCACTTGCCCGTATATAGGGCGTGATTACAGGAGAAGCAGGTGTAATGTCTTGTAGACCATCTGCTGGAGAACCACAATCTGTTGGAGGAGTGGGATAGGAGAAACCGCCTTGATCATAGTTTTTTGTCCCGGACGACACACGGTTCCGTGCCACAGGGAAGGTAGAAGTAGCCTCGAGTCCATTCATTCCAGGAGGTGAAGACACCGCTTTACCCGTGTTCACACAGATATTGGGCGATGTTGGGTCAACGCTTTGGAAAAGAAGTCTCCGCCTGAAATCTGAGCGAGTCCCGACGGTCTCTTAATGAGTAGGATAGTACTTCGATTTTTGATGGTGACAAACAGGGATTGCATGCAAACAATAACTTGAATGACACAGAAAACATAATATGTAATTTTTTTTACCTCCTGCTGTTCATAGCTGGGATTATACACTCAAGGCCAAAACCAGTGCCACCCCAAGGATTCTTGCTTTGTCTCCCAAACCCTATGCCAAGAATCCAATTAACCTCTTTTGCCACAGTTCCGAAACTCTATGAATGAAAGTGTATGGTATGGTAAAAATATCACATGATTAAGGGCACTGTATATTAACTGAATGTTTTAGCGATACAAGCGATTTCTTGATGCCAACGTTGCGAAATCTCCGAACCCACCAAGGATCATCCTGCCAGAATATTACGTCAACCATCAAGATGGTGCCTCCTCTTCCACCATCCCCTAGGGAGATCTATGGTATGATAGTGAGCAACGAACTCAATGCCTCGCTCAACGCTTCGCAGCTGGCTGAGACTGCCGGCTATGCCCGATTGGGTAAGCAGCTTCCTCGTCGGGCCTTGTCGAATAGGCGATATAAGCGAGAGCACTATTCATATACTTACGACGTAGACCTCAGGCATCAGAGATAGCTAGAGTCTTTCTTTGACGACTGAGGAGGAATAGACGTCTAATCTCTTGAAAGGACTTTGCGAAATAGGGCCCGGATCGGGGATTTTTTTTTTTCTCTGCGGCTGTCTCTCCAGTGCTAAGAGGCTTTTGCTTCTCATAATATCTTCAAAATTCCCGGCTTCGGTTGGGAGAACTTTTCGAAGAATATCAATCGCTGGTAGATCGGAAGAGTCAGCGGAGCAAAGGGCATAAGGGTCGGCTCCGTTTCTCAGCAGAAGCTTGATTACATCACAGGTATGTTCTTGTGAGTAACCCAAGTACTGTGATTTATTTGCATATATCCCACTGATAAAATGACTCCAGACAGTCGACCGTCCCGCCTTCTCAATGGGACTAAGGTGTTTTTCCTCCAAGAAAAACCGCAGCACCTCAATTCCTGGGTTTATCTCATGATTGGGAAGCATTGACCTGTCGATCATGATTGGATGCAGAGCGTAGTACAAATACGGCCTGCCCCTAGAATTTCGCAAGAGCTTAGGGTTGCTGGCGAGCTTGTGCCGAAGATATAGTACAAGGCCTCTTCGAGTAGCTAAGTCAAGGAATGTGGTCTCGTATCTTGCAAGGGATACCGACATTGGCCGGCCTAAACCGGACGGGTTTAGTTGTGCTGCTGTCCAATGGATATGCGGGCCTCTACCCATCATGTGTTCAGTGTTAACGCGATCTAGGTCATTTAGCAGGTTATATTCGTTTAAGATTTGCCGATTGGGTTTGGACTCATGGATGTGCTGCGCCTCTAGTTGAAGGGCGTACCATGGAAAATCTTGATCTTGTTGGTGCCCCAGTAGCTCGCCCAGCATGTACCTGTGGCTGTGCTCTCCTTTTCTTTGGACCCGTCTGTGTAGACCACCATTGCTGGTTGTGGGATGGAAGAGAGCCATCTCTGGAACTCCGCCCTGGATTGTGTCTTGGAAGTCACGGTTGGCTGCCCTTTGGCTTTGGGTGCCAGATTTGAGTCCCAGGGGCTTGTCTGCAGCAGGTCTATCTGTTCAAATAGATGGAAGTTTGTTGGGTCAATGGCTTGGAGTAGGCGGGTGTTAGTGTGGAAGCTTCTCTGGCATTTGGCCCAGCAGTATAATGGGTGTCTGGTGTCAAGTTGGTGGACTCTGACTGTTAGTGCTTGTTGTCTCTGATCCAGGAGAAGTTCCATGGGTGGTATGGCTGACTCCTGATGAAGTGCAGCTGTTTGAGTGGTTCTATAGACTGGGAGGGTTCCCAGCAGTGCACTGCAGAGTACCTAGTCCAGACAGGCTAGCTGGGCAACCACTCTCATCGGCAAATCGTGATGGCGTTCAAATCATAGCGGCTAGCCGGCTGACTAGCGGCGGCGCGGCCACAATTCCATGCAGGCCATGTAACGCAGCAGTACCACCGCGCCATAGCCGTTGACACACCCCGTCATCCGCTACACCTCCGCTATCCCGGCCATTTCTTTAATAACAATCCAACCAATTAAAATACCAAAATCCTCTACCATAGCCGTCCCACTGCAGCTATGGTGGCACCCCATCTACCATGCTGTCGCTGGTCAGCCTCACATCCACAGTATCTCAACACTATATCTGCCAATCCCCTTGTGTTCCACTGCGACCACTACAACAATGCCTCCAATCATGGACATCCACCAACAATGTATCATACCGTCGCATTACATGTAGAATCAACCAACCTGTAATAACATTACCACTAACACTAACACTAATGGCATTGGCACCCAGCCAATACCAATGGCGCCAACATGACAGCACCATCCCACCTTATTCCATCGACTGCCTCAGCTCCCTTTCCCATCTATCCGCCAGCTTCTTACTATCCTTCTCAAAGTCCGGGTTGTAATGGCGGTTGTACTCGTCCCAATTTATAGAATTGTTCATGTAATACACTGGTCACTCATGATCCCGTCCTGTCACCATTGTCTTTGGGATGAGATGCGCACCTTGTACAATATCATCAAGTGCATAATTTCATTGACTTCCCAGGCTCAGCCTTTTCCTTGCATGTGACAGTGGTGGCTCCTGCACCTCAAGCATCCCATGAATCTTATCTGGAATACCCTTCAGGATGAGCAAACGGAAGATCCTGACAAAAGCTCCAGTGTATACCATCTGCTTCCCATCCTGACCCATACTCTCATGGTCAATGACGCTTAATATCAACAAGAGCTCCCCCACACACAGTCCTGGGCTGGCGCCTCGTCCCCCATCTCTTTCCTGTATCCATACAGAATCCTTCTGCCAGACACCTGTATCACCCTGCCAGTCAAGGCTACATCTAACCACCTCCTTAATGTCACGGGCTCGGAATAGTAGATAATATTGAATCAATGTTCCTATCTAAACTATTGTAGCCATCGACGAGAATATCGAATCTGGAGAAGAAAAGAGAAAAGGAAATCTATCTGGATAATGAAGAGGTTTTTTATAGGGGTTGTTGGTGGCAGGGCTGTATAGCGGCATTTGTGATGTATCATCCGTTGATGCGGTGCTGGGCCATTATATGTGAGCTATCATGTGTGAGCCGTCACAGTGTATATCTATTAACCCTGAATTTTATTTTCTATCAATAATAGTAAATACATTCTGGGAGACTAGGTAAATACAGGTCTGACCATGACGGAGCTATGTAGCCCAAGGGCATAGATGTCAGGAGTCAACAGGTGGCATATCACAGACCGCATCAAATCCGCACTCTTCTGAAACACAGAACAATAAATCGGCCTCAAGCAAGTCTGAGATGTTTTGACAGATCGACTGAAGTGACAAGGAATAGCTTATTGTCCCATCAGATCCGCAATGCAAACCTAGAGGAATAATGGTTTCCCCATCCTTTGCCCAGATTAGACTCCCAGAGTCACCGCCAACCGCAAACGGCTCTTCGGGTGAGTCCCACTTGACCTTGAGCCGGTATGCAGGGAGCTCAAGAACAGGCTGCTGGATATCCGATAGAGTCCCATTGGTCAAACCACTTGCCGCACCATACTTGTGAACTCGAATTCCATATTCCTTCCCGATGAACTTGCACAGTTTCGACATATCACTAAACATCGGGGCACGGAACATAAGCGAAGGGTCGTCGTCAATATCATCCGGCATACTTAAGCGACAACAATCGACGGATGAAAAGGTGCATTGTAGTATTTCACTGGGGATTTCTTGCTGTTCGAGGAGACATATCTGGTTAAGGGAGACTGGACCAGGTACATCTTGCTCCCCCAGTCTAAATCGGGGCACGCCAAGGAACCGCTCGAACTGCTTAACAACCTCTGCATTGTATGTCTTGTTGTCAGTCCCATGGATCAGAATGGATGGGGCGTCGTCAACCACATGACCAGCAGTCACAAGGACATGTCTTTTGAGGACCGAGGTTTTCTATGGTCCCCACAAAGCCCAGGGTGCCAAATGAGGAATCTCCGAGTCATCCAACCGTAAGGAAATAGACTCAGGGATCGAAATTTTACATCCTGTCCATACATATAGGTCTGGGCGGATATCAACAGGGGGCTCCTCAACATAAGTTACATTCGGAAGATTTTGAAGGGGAGCGGGTATAAGGTCTGTGTCCATCTTGTGATGTGAGAACACGTATATACACCGCCGCATTGGAGAGTCCTCAGATGAATGACTTTCGAGATGGATACTAGTATATGGAAAATGTGAATCAGAACGATATATGCTCAAGAAGAACGTCAGTAGGGGTGAGTGTGGTACAAGAACTCTGGCAGAACAATAGTAACTAATGATAGCTGTCTGTCCACGCTAAACGGTCTTCCTGCCGAAGAAAACGAGAAGAAGCTACCCTGTAGGGGGAATTTGAATAAGCCATAGAAGTCATAAACTCATGCTAAGGTTATCGAGTTAGTCTCTCCCCCTCTCAAGGAGCAACGTCATGAAGAGGGAACTGGACATTCTGAATGGATTCAATAGCTAACCTTAGGATGGAAACAAAACATTAGTAGAATACTGGATGATAGAGAAGGGTACATAAGAGGGGGAGAAGGTGGAGGAAAGGTAGCCGCCTGCCTATCAGGGAAGACAATGAGGGGAGAACTGCTCTGACGGAGGTGCTATGTATAGTTATGGTGATAAGGAATAATGTCGGACCGATTAGGCAAGTTCCGCCGGTCCGATGATATAGGCTGAAACGGGGAAGCTTCGGGGCAGCGGTGCCGATTCTCCGGATTACCATACGAGGACCATATGACAGCCGTAGGCCGTAGAGACAGTATCGCGCAGTAAGGAATGTACGTAGTATTGAGTCTGCTGTAGAGTGCTTTCTAGAACTAACTAAGAGCGTTCCATCGCCGTACGATAAAACTTCTCCGGAGCTCACTAGATCGGTCCGATATTCATCCGATCTTCATCATTCAGGAACAGTCGGACTCGGAAAGCGGGCCGACTATTAATCCGTCTTGACTTTCATCAAATCGGGAAAGTGGCACGTGCGACGACCTCGCTTCGCGATTCACTCTCTCGAAGCGAAGTCCAAGCAATTGATAAGCTTCAATCCTCCGAATTTGCGGACCTCGGTATGTGTGTGATCCTCCAAGCCTTACCTTAAGGGGTAAAACACCCTCTCCAACCCCGACGGCGTGGTGGAATTGGTCGCCATGATTGGCTCGGGGCATACTATGAAGCATACAAGGTACAGAGTATGGTTGAGGATTCAGGGGAGGATTCAGGGCAGTATATAGTCTGGAATATGGCGCCAGACTGGTCAATTGGAGAAAGAAACCGCGACGACCATGGTGACTACCGGTGCTCTCTTCTCGTTCCTCGTTCCTGCGTTGATCAGCGGCGCGCAGGCTAGTGTTGACTATCCTCCGCTGCCCGAGGACCTGACCACCCCTTATCAGCAGCGTCTGGCCATTTACGGCCCGAATGGTGAGTATAACGTTCAATTGCTGCCCATAAGCTTTGTTTTTGGTGCTGGTAGACTAACGCTCCCATTTCAGCGGTTTCGGTTGGATGGAATACCTACGCCGCGCAGAATCGGAGCTGCGTGCAATATGGTTCCTCGCCGGATTCTCTCAAGTCGCAAGTCTGCTCCTCCCAGTCATCGACCTATGACACTTCCCGGACGTATTCGCATACTGCTATCTTGAACAATCTGACGCCGGCGACCGACTACTTCTACAAGATCGTCTCGACCAACTCCAGCGTGGAACAATTTCTCAGCCCTCGCACTCCGGGAGACGAGACTCCATTTAACCTTAGTGTGGTTATTGATTTAGGAGTCTACGGAGCAGATGGCTTCACAGTCGACTCCTCCAAAGCAAAGAAGGACGATATTCCTTCCATTGAACCAGACTTGAACCACACCACCATCGGACGTCTAGCAGCTACCGTTGACGAATATGATGTAGTCATTCATCCGGGAGACTTTGCGTACGCCGACGACTGGTACTTGCGACCAAAGAACTTGCTGAATGGTGAAGATGCCTACCAGGCCATCCTGGAGAAATTTTACAACCAACTTGCCCCCATTTCCGCCCGAAAAGCGTACATGGCGAGTCCTGGCAACCACGAAGCCAGCTGCAAAGAGATCCCTTATACCACGGGAACGTGTCCGGAAGGACAGCACAACTTCACCGACTTCATGCACCGCTTTAGTGACACAATGCCGCGAGCTTTTCTCTCCAACTCGACAAACCACACGGCGCAGCAACTCGCCAGCAAGGCGCACAGTTTATCTAACCCACCATTCTGGTATTCTTTCAAGTATGGCATGGCCCACATCGTGATGATCGACACCGAAACCGACTTTCCCGACGCGCCGGATGGGCAAGATGGATCTGCTGGGTTGGACGGCGGTCCGTTCGGCCTGCGTGGTCAGCAGCTGGACTTCCTCGAGGCCGATCTCGCCAGTGTGGACCGAAGGGTCACGCCGTGGGTGATCGTCGCTGGACATCGCCCATGGTACACCACGGGCTCGAGCACCTGCAAACCGTGCCAGGAAGCTTTCGAGGGCCTTTTCTACCGCTATGGCGTCGACCTCGGTGTCTTTGGTCACGTTCATAATTCCCAACGTTTCCTCCCCGTCGTTAATGGCACCGCAGACCCGAAGAACATGACGGACCCTAAGGCTCCTATGTATATTGTCGCCGGTGGCGCGGGTAATATCGAAGATCTTAGTTCCGTTGGAGATAAGCCTTCGTATACTGAGTTTGCATATGCGGATGATTACAGTTACAGCACCTTGCGCGTGTTGAACCGGACCCACCTGCAGGTCGACTTTATCCGGTCGTCTACCGGAGAGATCTTGGACTCGAGTACCCTGTACAAGAGCCATTCTAGCTCGTTTGTCGTGCAATAGTACATCGATGTTTCTTGATCCCTGTGAGGAGAAGACAACAGATTCTTCTTGTTCTTCATTGGTGCCGGTTTTGTTATTATCCCATTTACCTTAACCTGTTTAACAGTTCTCGGTACCTGCACTAATTTGGAGGAGAACAAAGGCCAACCAACTGAACAGAAATATCCAATGTCCTAGAATAATTGATGTACAGTCCTTTATAGCAAGCCCTAGGAAATCTTGCAGCTCCACTCATAATACAATTCCATTTGGCCCCAGACACAATGCCGTTCAATCCATACTATCCACTAGAATGAGAAACCCATATACTATCAGGTCCAATGCGACTCCCACCGCTTAGTTACCGAACAGTTCTCATTTGCTTTGCGGCTTACTCACTTGACTCTTCAACAGCGACATGTTCTTATTGATGATGTAGAAAGAGTCCAGTGTAACATAATGGTCCGGCGCCTCAGCACGACTAGGCCTCTATCGGTCTCTAGGATGCCGGTTTATCAGGGAAAATGTGCATTTCTCAGTTCTAAACTGGATCAGTTTGATCAAAGCAGGCAATGTCAAATAGAATTCCCACTAATCTGGTCCAGTAAGTCCTGTTTTTCATTAAGAAAACATAGCAGACATCATGCTTCTTTGAATTTCTCCAATTGACGTCGAACTTGATCAACTATGTTCGTACATTCGTTGCTTATCTTCTCAATGTAGACAATAAACATCATCGTCTGCGGCTGATGGTTATTATAGATCATTGTGTCAACCCGCATCCTTCTTGATCCTCTCACAACATAGAACTCATCCAGAGTGAAACCTGCCTCACTGTTAGCTGTAGGTTTTGGTCGTAGCAAGACCCTTATTCTTACCGGCATGACCACGAGAAATAGTCCAATCGACATGGCAGGTGACCCCGGAGCCCATTTCTTCATATATGCTCAGGCCGTCGTCGAAGTCTTCGAGGGTGACTTGGCGGATGACAGGAGTGACGAAGGACTTGAGCTTTAATGTCGAGATGGTCTGGTGCGGCATTGTGTGTTTTGACTCTACCTGAAACTCTGGCCAGCATACTTTGGTCATAAGAGTATGGTTTCGTACTATATTCAGAATGTCCGGCTTGTTCTTATTTATTCTGTCTGGTAGTGGTATCCTTTGGCTGACCCCTTCGAATATGGGGAAGAACCATTTTGTGGGCAAGATACTAATGTTCTGCCTGGGAGTTGGGTTTGTTGCTACCTGTGTCGCCTTTCCGCCAATGACAATTGTAAACAGCTGCTTCCTATATTCTGACGCCGACGGTTGCATTTTGGCAAACATATGGTGGTGTAGGTGGAATTGAGTAGAATTATTTGTGAACGGCGCGACTGGTTTATGGCCATTGAAGTGCTTTTTGATGTGGACGTAATTTGCTGTACAATCAGAAAAGCTATATGGGCTGCTAAGCAAGTTTCAGCCTGCACGATGCAGAAAAGGAAATTGAGGAGGCCCAATACTGAAAAAGAGAGTTGTGCTGGCAGCGCCACATACACAGAGCTGGAATTGATGAGGCAGACGCGGAATTGGGTAATCCCGATGGTCAGTTCAGAGAATATGGGAATAGACCAAATATTGACATTGACAATAGACTCAGACGATCCCGACTCCGTCGCCATAACACCCAGGCCAGTCACCAAAACAGCTATCACTGAGTCCCCCAACTCCGACAGGGGCGATCTGCATTCAGGCCCGGTAGGTCCGGCGCCGTACATACTACGGCGTGGAGGGAACCCCAGTCCCTTCATATTCGGGGGCTCGTAAGGTGCTATGCGGGCTTTGTGCCTAAGAATGGATTGCAAGGGAATATCTACGACTGGATACTGATTAATGGCAAGGCGATGGTGGCAGAATAAGGGTAGTCGCGTGACTGTCGTTTGATTTCGTCTAATACTGTATTTTAGAGGTGTATGGTAGGTTATTGCGTACTGCAACTGGGTATATATGGAATGTATTAGAAATTCATTGAATTGAATAAGCTTGAATGGCCTTACAACGTGAGCATGATTCAGGAACAGCAAACAGCCTGGCTCTCCCATTTGTCGTTGTCGTCAAGGCAATGCCAATCTCCCACGGGCTTCCCATAGCATTGAAACACTGTTATACAATTCAATTATCAAGGCTATGCCCTAAAGTAGAGCCTGGTTGGTGGAGCGGTGATGGAGTGTAGGAGTAGTCGCGACGACTAGAATTCTTCAATGAGTGGTGTAGGTCGGTATTGTATATGAAAGCGTGCGCGTACTGCTTTAAACCTTTCGCCTATCAGCCGGTGCTTCTTTCGTGGCACTCTAGGTCATCCTCTGTGGGTCATTAGCTTTGCTTACCAGCCTGGGGTCAACGGATCTGCGCAAGTGGCAGCCGGCTGAGGTGGGGTGTAATGAGGAAGAGCCAACGTGGACTCATCGCGTCCATTCTGCGTACTCATATCGCACATGGATTAGCGTTATAAACTGACGAGTAAAATTGCAGATAGCAGGCGGCTCCAACGGACTTCTCGACGGCCAGACAGGCGCGAGCAACAGAGATGTCCGCGAAGAAGTTTGCGCGCAAGTTCACAGACCATGTGTTCCTTCCATGCTTTCTTCCCCAGCGCAACCTTGAACCTTCTCGAAGAGCCACTTTTCTATGGCGAAGTGGCTCAATCTTGTTGTAAAATGGTATGGTGGGTGACGACTGGACTAGTGTATGATGGCGAGCAGCGTGGGGAGTCGATGGTGGGTTTTGGAGCCTCAGGGCCGGAGCAACCTAGGAAAGATATCATAAATTGGGATCTGGAGGGTACCTATGTGTTCTATCAGATATATTAGCAACACTGTCATCAGACACCTCAGTGTTTAAGAGCAATACCAGCCGTCAGTCAATTCGCAAATAAGGGTAGAATGTGGGGACTGAAATACTGGAGAGCGAATTAAAGTAGAACGTATGGGATTTCCACAGCGTTTCGGTATGGGTATGGAAGATAATATTGTAGACTGTGAGAAGGTGTGTTTGGTTTTTTTTTTTTTTTTTTTTTTTTTTTTTTTTTTTTTT